ATATTATAAATGTTTTAAAAAGATATATCAAAATTTTACATTTTAAATATAAAATTAATAGTTGAATATAAAATTCAAATGGAATTTAAAACAATTAAAAATTTCAAAAGCACAAAACAAGACAAGAAATATAATATTACATCAGAAATACTGTATTTTCTAACCTCAATTTTTAAAAAAAGATTTAATACTTTTAAAAAGTGTAATAATTGAAAGACATTCTCATAAATTATAAAATTAAAGGAATGTTATTTCCAATAATGAATTGCCAACGTGAATTCACAATTTTTCTTTTTTTCTTTCTCATCATTTTGCATCTTGTTCTTGTTGCGACAAATGCTTTTCACTGCAAATGGAAAAGATATAACGAAGCGCGCGCAGCCTAGTGCTCTGTTCGTTACGTTCGCTTAACGAGTGCTTTAACACTCGAACTGTGTAACGAGTACACTTAACCTATCTGCATTGATAAACGTGTCGTTAAATTTTTGCAACCTTGATCCTAATCAAACAGATCGCGGTATTAGTGTCTAAATTGTATAGGAATTCTATTGAAAATAATATTTCAGTGTATTCAAAGTGTTCATCTTGTACCGAAACGTTTAACCTGGATACTTCGGGAAAAAAGAGAAAAATCGTTATGTGTATCACAAAACTCGGAGAAAATATTTCTATCATTCCCTCGTTGTCTATTTCTCTCGTTCTGTCTTTTTTCACCTTTTTTTTTTTTTTAAATAAAATCTGAATTTCACGTCATGTACTACGGATGTGATATTTTTGACACATTTACTATACTCTCTCGAATATCTCGTGTATATTACCGATAAAAACGGAACCAGATGTATCGACCGTATATTATAAAACTTTTTTTTTCACATTGAACAAGAGACACGAGAATTACGAGTGATTTTCAGTCATTTCAATCTCTACGTATTTATTTTTCAAAATTCCAAAAAGATTGAAGATTGGACAGGCGAAAAAAGTTATTGACTTGTTGGTTTTCGTTAGATTTTACTTGTTTCGTGCACCGGTAAGTCGAATCGACATGAAATGGATAGAGTGGACATTCGTTGCGCTTGACACGGTGAAATGCATTTCCAACGTGCGAATAATTTTTAGAAGAGTATGTATTGTGCTACTGCGTTTAAAGTGAAACTGAATACGCTTGGCGTCGAAATAGAGAGATTTCGTATAAAATTGAAAGCTTGCAAATTGTAGAGAGATCGTATAAAGCTTCCTGAAAATAATCTTCTTGAAAACTTGTATTCAAAAAATTCTATTGCAAAAAAAATTTTAATGATTATTAATTAAAATAAGAATAAATCCAAATGAAGAAAATGAAAAAAATAAAAAACAAAAATGGCAAAATAAAATTATAATAAAGTTTCGATTAAAATCTAAGAAATCTCACTCGAATCGATCGAATTATTCATTCATATAATTCACAAATTCATATGGAATTTATTCATAACCTCAAAAAATCAGTTTCATCGATAAAGAAAATCGTAAACCCTAGATTCCACTAACCGATTGAATGCTGATCGGAAAATGGGTGAGAGTTTTCGATTGTTAGGCTTTCTGATTCCAAATTCAGCTTATACAAACAGAACCCGGTTTCCGCGATAGCAAGGGCAGCCGTTTAGAATCGGTGCTCACAACACGATGCATAATACAAATTGGTGTTCTCGCAACGATCGATAGTCCATGTTCGATTGTTCTCTCGGGAGCAGTTGCACGTTGTTATTACAAGTGACGCCACGAGCAATGTGTTGTAGGTATTGTGGTACCCTTAATTAGTAATGAAATTAGTTTAAAGTAGATTCATCTGTAATTCGTTGAAAATATTCTATATTATATTTTATTTCTTTCTATCCTATTCTTTTTATTTTTTTTTCTCTTTTCTATTTAAATTCTATTAGTAATTTTCCTTTGATTTTCTATGACAAAAAATTCGACACGATTTCAATGTATATTTCAAAAAATGAGAGAAACTTTCGAAGTATGTCTTGTATTGAATAATTTCGTTTCTGTTTTATTTGCGATATCTTTTCGATTTGAATGATTTGAAATAAAATTATGATATATATTTCTTACTTCTTATTTAATTTTTATTTGGATATTATAATAAGACTTTTGCTGTGAAAAAAAAATTTATTTTAAATTTGTATGACATGAATAATGATTAAATTTGTATGAATTATTATCTTGTTTTTTACAGGGAGAAAAAAATATTATAGATTTATCTTGTCAATTGAGCATTTTTAAAATATATTATGATAGCAGAGAACTAAGATGTTGCATATCTAAATCACAATTTATCATATTTTTAAGAATATTTTTAAGAATTATTAAGAATTATTAATTAAAACAAATAATATGAACAGATAAGTATAATAAAATTTTAACAATCTTAATAATTTATTTAAATGAAACAATTTATCATATTTTCATATCATAAATGAAACCTAACCTAAAATTGAGTAATTTTTTTAATACAAAGAAATTTACAGTTAAATTATTCTCTTTACATTTTATATATAAATACTTTCTTCAATATGTTTTATAGTTCCGAACATTTATGCAGCAACGTATCTCACAAAGAGAACAAATAAAAAGAAATTTATCAATTACACGCGATTTCTCGACACCAGTGGAAAGTCCCATTCTCCCATTCTATCGAGAAAAAGGAAATGAGTCGCTATTCTTCAGTCACGATAATTAGCCAAAAGAAAAGAAAACGACGAAGAAAAAGAGAAAAAGAACCAAGTGTCGGAGGCGAGTTGTCCGCTTCACTCGGCTTTCTTTCAAAGTTCCGAAACTCATCGTGCAAATAAAGGAAAGGACCACGTCGAGGACGAAGGCCACCGTTACACATTCATCTTTTAAAGCGGCACTTTTCAAAGCATCACTTTACGAACCAACTGCGTTACAGGAGAGAAAGCTCATTCCCTACATAGTGTCGCGAAACGCCTCTTTTATCCCTTTTTGCACTGCGTCCATGACGACTATCGACTACACGTGTACTCGTCAATATTTTCCCTTTTTATTATTAATCTGCCTCGTTCGCCCTCACTCACTCTTTTCTTAACATAATGTATATACAGAATGTATTTTATGATATACGTCGTAATATTGTGATATAGGAATTTTGTTGTTTATTAAATAAGAAAGAATTAAGGAATTAAGGATATTGTAACGTAGATAAGAAAGTTTTCGATTGACTTTTTGACCGAAAAGTTGAGAATTCAAATTCTATTCGTTCTCATTCTTTTTTTTTTAAGTAAATATATGTGTTAATATAATATAATATACATGAGATACTTTTGGAGGATCGATTCTGGAGGCCAAGGTTAGTATATAGAAATATCGATTAAGGGTTATTTATTAAGTTATAAGCAATTTAAATTTGCAATAGATGAAGCAACACGGCGTTGTGATAAAGATAAAACTGTTTCAATCTATCTTCGTCTCGTTTATAACGTAATAAATAATCGATATTTTTTTTCATAATAAAATTTTTAATAAATCCGTAATAATAAGAAATATAAAAAAAACAAACTTTTTGTCACTTCTGATATAATTTAAAAATTAATATTTTTATATAAGTGTCAAATAATATTCCAAACTAATATTAAATCATATATATACAATATCCAACAAAAGAATAATTTATTAAAAAAATTTTTTTCAATATAAAACTTTTTTATGCAATTTTCATTTTTTCATACAGTTATATTCTTATCGGTTATATACTATCAATTTCAAAACCTTGTATAAATCCATATTTAACATTATTCTTCATCATATTCGTGGGACATTATACATACATTCTCTCTCTTTCTCTTCCTATCCTCTGTTATTCTCTCTTCTTCTAATCGTTTTATCTTTGAGAACTAATTGTTACTGAACATGCGGTTGAACTTCTCTACGCAGAGGAACCGGGAGGCCGGAAAGTGTTGTCAAGCTGAAACAGCTTTTCTCCCTCCACAGCTTTTTAAAAGCATCCAGTCGTGGATGACGCATCAGGTAGCACAACACATACGCTTCTTTTCCCTTAAACACACTCCGTCCAACGAGCGTCTAACTACAAGCGTGTGTAGCACGGTAAAAAACCGAGTATCGAATGCTACCGCATGAATAAGTCCCTTTGAAGTTTTCACCACCCACAGCAACTCCGCTCCGAAAAATCTTGCAGCTTCAACCGTTTTAAAACCGACACGTTTTCCTCTCGTCGTCGGCTACCCAGTCGTGTATCTTTATACCTGTGTGTGTGTCTTTAAAAACCCTAGTTCACACAGGTGCGACCAAGTTTGCCATCCCTATCTGATGCTTTCGTTTCTTGCCGGAGCAGGAACAACGGAACGAAACGAAGGAAAAAAGAGGAATGCAGGAAAAGGGTGAAAGGGAAGAGATGCGGAGGTGGTGTTGCGCCACGTGTTTTGAAACTGTCTCGCGTGGGACGACGAGCTTTTATGGCGGAATACCGGTGCACGCTGCAGTAGAAGCGGAAATATTTGTCCGGGTCTATCGTTACCCACGAGATCCCATTTCGCGCGGATTAATTATAAAGTACGATCTAACGGCATACCATGAACTTTTGTATAGCATTAAATTATATTTATGATTGGACTGAGTCAGAGTTCACGAGTCGCTATCGCTAATTAATTTTTTATTATCGAACATCATTGGACTTAAGGAATATTTTCGAATATCCGTTATTTGTTAATTAAGGAATTTTAAACTTTATTTTTTTTTTTCAATTTTCTTGAGAATATAAAGAATGTAAAGAAAATCAGAGATACAATATATATAAAATTAATTTTGACCAGAATTTGAAGTCTCATGAGATATCCTAATGTATAAATTATATTTAGATTTAAAATTAATAAATATAAATATATGTTCCTTTAATTTTTCTTACGAAAACAGAAAGATGCTATCTCGAAAATAAAACGTTGAATGAAAGAGAAAATAATATTTGCAAAAAATAATATTTTATTCATTTCAAATCTTTCTGTTTATGTATATTATACTGTCGGTAATTTATTTCATTCTTTATTTTTTTTTAATTTTGCACAAACCATGATTAAGTTTCTATTATATTCATCTTGTATGCATTTGAAGTTTCAAAGCACGATTTAAAATCCTGGAGTTTCATTGAATGCTCATTACTACAGTTGAGTAAGAAACATGAAAAACGTAACAAGAATGATAAAAGACGATACAGTAACGGCTACAAAAGAGCTCATTGTAGAGAAAAGGGGGTACTGAGAATAAAATACTATGGAGTATTATTGCAAAAGAACACGATTGTAGAGGGAACGTTCAAATGTTAGATGAAGTAGCGTCCTCGAAGCAACGAATGTAAGCAGCGTTACGTCCACATAAAGTTCGATATTTTAAATCCTATTATTCAAACATGATAAAGCTTAGCATTAAAATAAATTTCTTAATAAGAAATATTATATTATGATATTTTTTAACTTACTATTTTCATTTAAATTCATCATCTAGAATATCGTTTGTTTTTAAAAGTATCAAAAAACGTTTCAAATAAATATTGAATGGTTTCAAGATGATATAATATGATGTAATTAATTTTCTCATAGATGAACTTATAGAAGTCAACACTTGAATTCACTTTAGATGAAATATTATACAACATTATCTATGGATATCAAAATATAATAATCTATCATTGTATTTGAATAAAATAAATCGATTACTTACATAAATTTGAAATTCCTAGTTTTAAATTTGATCAATAATGAAAGTCTCAAAGTCTCAAATAATTCTTATATGATAACATCGATTATTTGTGACTAGATAACAATGATTTATGCTGTTACAACGCTAGCATCGGATTTTTGCGATCACAAAAACCACGAAGAATCACAAGTTCTCTTCCTCTTTTTCTATTCATCTATTTTACTTCCTCCGAACGACCACGAGTCTGGCTTCGTTGGTAATTATTTATGTTGGCCGGTCTCTGTGCGAAACGGTAATTGAATTTGCGTCCGTAAAACGGCCACTGACCGTAATTTGTCGACTCAGTCAAAGAGAAGGGAAATAAAGAAAGAGAGAAATAGATGATTAATATAGTCTTAATTGTTCTCGTTGTTGTGCGAATGAAACGTGGCTGGTGACTTGCTTAAGTCAATTGAAGTCTCTTAAGGGAATCTTAGATCTCCTGGAAATAATGAACTTATGTTTACGATCTTATTGTACAAAATATGAAATATTTTTCTCTTTGAACAAAATTTTTGTAAAAAATAAAAGGTTAAAAGATTAATTTCAATGTTTTATCGTTATCATATAACATGATCATATTTATAGGTTATATTGATTTCTCATATCATATTATTTATCATATTATATATTATTTGTAACATTTTAGTAATTTTGATTGTTTCTTTTAGTTATCTAAAAAAACTTTTGTTCATTATTTAAATGAATTGAAATATAAAAGTCAAAATTAAGAAAATTTAAGACAAAAAAAAGTCGGAATTAATTCCTTTTCATACCATATGTTCCTTTGCAAAGATAAATAAAAAAACCACATATGTAAACCTTAAATACCTCTTATAGTCCTTTTCGCCTCGAGTTTCCCTGTCGCAAAGCTTTTTTTCAACGTTTCCCAAGCGCGTTTTCTTTTTTCTTTGTCCTTATAACGGACGAGCCAAAGAGGCGACCTCTGTTATGGACCCCTCGAAGTAAGAGAGATACGCCACGAAGGGGCGCGACATTTGCGATTCAAAGCACAACGAGAAAATGAAGATTAAGGGTGAAGGGTTTAAACGAACGAGAATTACGACACGTGTACTCGTGCAAGAGAGTATGAAGGGTGCTAGAGATGATCTATAGTCACCGTCTGACGCTTTTATTCGAGTTCATTTTGTAAGTCAATATCGCAGCTAGAGGCAAAGAATTGCCTTTGTATTTAAAACGTTAACTGAACAGTGACTTGTTGGTCCAAGTATTTTGCAAACAAACGGATTGACGGATTAATGAAATTGTTTGAACGAATTGTGCAGATAATTTTATTTGTTTTAATGTTTGAGATAATATATCGGTACACGATATTTTTTGTTATAAAAGATCAAAAAAATTGAAATATTAAGGAAACCTTGTTTTTTTTTTCTTGTTTAGATAAATCTACGCCTCATTCTTGTCAGTGGTAAGACAAAAGAGTTCCTATTCAGTCCGAGCGACTCTGCGGGGGACATAGCGCACCATGTGTTTGAAAACTGGCCGGAAGGTACGTTATTATTGAAATTTATTTACATTATAATTTCATACATGAAACAATTAAACCAACTATATGATTCTTTTTATAAAAGATTTTTATTATGAAAAAACAAATAAATAAAAGAACAAATAAAATAAAATTTACGAAAGTTTGACAATATTTATCAATTCATATTGCATATTTACAAGATTCGAAATAATCATATTGAACAATGGTGTAAGACGATCCGATTAAGTCTCCTGTCGTGTTAATCTAATCATTCGAAATTTCACTTGACATGATGTATCATAGAAATTCCCTTATCATCGAGAAACTCATAGAAATGTTGTGTTTGTCACAAGACTCACTTATACAATTATCCATAACTATATTGTACAATATATTAGACGAACATATTTTTCTATCAATAAATTAAACGTAGTTTATTGTTCATCCACACTATACGATGGTATTTTACGCTTGTATTTTCATCGTCTATCATTGTCAGGCTACGTGAAGCATGAAAGTACTAGAATTGAAAACACTCGCAGAAATATATAGACCATAAAATATCGCCATCTATCGTGAGATATATCAAAAGCATGAAGTACAATTCAATTAAGCATGGTATAACGCGAGATGGCGAAACAAGCAAAGCAAAAATTTTGAAACCGAATGAGAAATTTGTTGACATAATTTATTATACAATGAGATTTGCATAAAAATTACGCTAAAAAAAAGAAATTGGTAAAAACTAATTGATTAACAAGAGAGAAGTTTCAAAATTATAAATATCATTTATTATTTTTATTGTTTTCTGAATTTTTTATGAATGCCTTGAAAAAATAATGTAAGTATTATTAATTATATATTGAAGAAACCTATTAAATAAATAATATGTTTATATTTGTTTAACGATAAAAATACGGAATAATAAAAAATAGATTTTATAGAATTCATTAATTCAGAACGACATATCAAGTATTATGCAGTATTAGAAATTTTTTATAGGTTATGTTACTATTGTTTCTTGTTTCTTAAAAGCAAATAAAATAATGTTATTTATAATAAATTTAAATTAAAAAAAATAAAAGATAAAATTCTTAAAAATTTATTTTCTATTTTAATCTACAATTTTATAACATCTCATTTTAGATTATTTTTATTATATACGAAATACAAAGTTTCTCGTAAGCATTATATATATTAATTTTAAAAAAAAATCAAGAAAAAAAAAGAATTGGACTTACCTTTATTTCCATACTGTAAAAAGTGAATCGAGTGGGTTTTCATTCTTTTAAGAAGCGTGTTTCAATGCAAATCTTCTCAATACTTGAAAAGTAACCCGTTTAATATTAAAATGTATTCACTGACCGCAACATCTCTTTTGCTATCTTGAATTGTCGCGTCGGAATTAACTTTAGTTTTGAAAAATAGAAAAGAGAAATTACACGAGAATTATTATTGTTGATATAATTAATTTAGATAATATTGCCCAAAAATTTGATAATTAACTGCACCAAATTTTTTATATATTTGATCATGTTGTCTGTATAATACAAGAGAAAATTTTTTTTCATTTTTGAATATAATATATAATAATTCAATTTAGTATCATTTTTTTTATCTGATGTTTTATAATTAATATGTATAATTTATATAATTTATGAATATTATATGCTGTATTATGAATGCTTAAATAAATTCTATTAAAATTTGTCACAATTTGCGTTAAAATGATATAAAAAAAATATTTTTATTAAATATTACAAAAAGTATAAAAAATAAATTTAAAAATAAATTTCAATAATACATATGATTTTTATATTTTGAATCTATCATGATGTTTTGATAGTAGTATATTTGAAAAGTTAAATTTTAACTTAAAATTATTAAAAATATAAATAATCTTTATGATAAATATTTTTAATACATATATTTATATACAGAAATATATACAAAAATATTTCTTCTACAAAAAAATAATTTCAAATATTTAATATTTAAAATGTGAAAATGAAAAAGCATAAAATAATTTTTATTTTTCTAGTTTAACATAATTATTAAAATTTTCATACGCATTTTTAAAAAACATAACATAATATTGAATTATTTTTGTCTCTTATTTTCAATTTTAATTTCTTCTTCTTACTATTCATCACAAATTTTCAAGAAATATAATTAGGTCACGTCATAATCTTATCTTTTACGTCCACAATAGAATCTTTCTAAATTCTTTTGCGCGCCATTTTATGCTTCTTTTACATCATCGACGAATTAAATTCAGACGATGAATTAAAAGTCGAGGAAAGTTCATGAAATTTTTACCAAGAAGCGATTGATGAAATTATCAAAATGAAATATTCTCGCGTCTTTTCTGTAAGTCCAATGAACTTATTATTATTTTTTTCATCATGTCGTTGTTCCACCAATAGAAAACGCTGAAAATAATCGAGGCAAGGTCGTTTCGAAATCTTATACGAGATTCCTATCTCTTTGTCTTTTCAGACTGGGCGGAAGAAGCAGTCGCTAAAGCGGAGATCCTGCGGTTAATCTACCAGGGCCGTTTTCTGCACAGCAATGTCACGCTCGGTGCTCTTGGGCTTCCTTTCGGGAAAACCACGGTGATGCATCTGGTCCCACGAGAAAACCTTCCCGAGCCTAATTCTCAAGGTAAATCATCGACCAGCCATCTTTTTGTTTATCCTGTCCAGGAGAAAAATGAAAGGCACAGTTCTGGCCAGGGGAAGGAAAGCCTTTATGTTCCGAACCAATATAGAGCCGCGATTTAATCCTTTAATGGTGGATTTTCTCGAGCGAGCATAGCTGTCTAAAAGAATTTTTAAATATTGTTGCTTTTTGGAATAATTTTAATATCAGTTATAGGTTTAGATCTTATTATTAAAATCAGGTGAAAGCTATTCGATTCGTTTTTTTTTTTTTTTATAACAGAACCATATATTCTATGCAGTATCATATTAATTTCTTTAATGGTTCTTAGGGATGATATCCAAATGTTGATATAGTTATATCATCATATTTGCATTCATGAACAGTTCCATCTTTCTCTTTGACATCACCTAAAAATTATTTAAAGATTATTAGGATGATATGTTTATTTGATAGAATTCAAAATGAAAAATATGTGATATTATATAAATAAAAAAAAATAATCGAAACAAAAGAGATTAAACAAGATTATATCATTATCTTTATATTATCTTATATTAATATAATAATCCTAATTCTATTTTGATGTTTATGGTAAATTAATAAATTACATATCTATTCTAAAATACAATAGTGTATATACCGTGTATTTTAATATTATATAAATATTAGGTTAACTTATACTACAATTTTATTTTCTTTCCTTAATATTTTTAAACTTAAGAAAGACGCATCCTATTTCGTATGGTTTCTCATCTACTATATACTTCGTAATATGAGGCATTAACGGATATCGTTATATGATAGAGTTAAGGAAAAACCATGAATATATAGTTATTTTATTTTATTATACATGATTCATGTGCTCGTGGAATAAACATGGAATGCAACATTATTTACACAACATATTGTTTTTCTTTCTCCGTGTGGTCTCGTTAATCCTCCATAAATATATTCTATGTGCACTCGAGATAACAACGATTTACTTTTTCATTCCCTATGGTTACTATATAAATTATGTTATATTATATTATATTATATTTTTCATCTTTTGTTTCCATGTCTTTTTTAAACAGATTTTGCAAATAGATTTAAAATATTAGAAATTTTAGAGATATATTTATTTATAAATATTTATACATTTATTTTACAAATTTTTTTAAAGATATTCTTTTAAGATATGTATTTCAATTTAATTTTATTTTTATTAATTTTTTTTGTATTTTAATTAAAATTTCATATATATCTACTATATCATCTAAATTTGAAATTATAAGTAATATTATTAATTTATTTATCTTTTCTAAAATCAATAATTTATAAATATAAAAGAATATGCAGCAAATATTTATTGCCAACATTTATTAATATTATTTATATATTGATTATTCAATATAACAAATTATAATATCCAATATTAGCTAAAGATCCCAATCTCACTTTTGCTAATTACAGGTCTTCTGCCTAACGGCGGATACATGCACATACCAGCCCGACAACATTCTGCTTCCTGATTATGATTAGTAAAATCTTCCAAAAAAAAAAAAAAAAAAAAAAAAAAAAAAAAAAAAAAAAAAAAAAAAAAAAAAAAAATCCCAAAGTGTGTCCATGTCCGTACAATCCAAATGTCCACGATCGTCGTTCCTGTACAACCCAATCTCTTCGCGATCTTGAAAAAGAAATTACGTGGCAGAACTCATGGTACTTAATTGCTGTTTATTTCGAGGTATTATCTTTGTTATTGTCGACGACAAATAACTATTTATGCTCGGTAAACACGACAACTTTGTAGCGATATTTAAACCCGTGTTTCCTCCTTGACGAGAAATGAAAAATAGAAAGAAAAGGGTTCGCGTGTCTCGGTTTATAGTCTGTTGGCGGAAGTTGAGGACAACACGCACGCGAAAAAAATTCACAACTCGCTACTTTTATATCACATTTAATCAGAAATAAAAAAATGTGTAATGCTGAAAATTTTTAAATATAATTTATCCATCTATTTTTCTATTTGATCTTTCCTTTTGTATTTTTATTTATAAATTTCAGAATAACGGTATAATTTATGAAATCTCATCATCTATTTTATTTTTTTTTTCTCTTCATTCAAAATAACTGTTTCAAATAAGAGATAATTTCAATTGTAATTAGAATAACAAAACTATTACTTCTCTGTTACAGATCAAAGGCAAAAAAGTAAAGGCGGCGGGAGTAGTTGCTGCTCAGCTTCCTGTTGCATACTTTAAAGAAAACGTTGGCTGCCCTGGATATTTTTTGAGGTCGTTCCGTGTGAGAGCCAGCTCCCATGTTCTTCAAGCTGAGCCATGGTTTCTAAGGTTTCGACGCTGGTGTATCATTGTTAGTGGCTGAGCCTCGTGAGCATTGTAGCAAAGCAAAGTTGTCACATCCTTCGCCGATTCATCTAAATTAAAATAAAAAAAAAAAGGATTTATTTTGGTTCATCTGCAACGCACGCTAAAAACATCGTTCACCGTCCCAAGTGAACAAATTCTGTCATCAGTCTCTTGAAGAGAAAAAAATATAATGGAAAATTTCAAAGCCAGATTTATATGTCTATAACATCATATAAATTCTAAAAAGAAATTGTAATGTAAGCCAAACAACATAATTTTTACATGTTGTTTTATATTTTGTTTTAGTAATTGTGTACACAAAAATCTATTTATAACTTATATCGCGTCAAAGAGATTGTCAAGTTTTTAGGCATATCGATGACCTGGTTCGGCATTGGAACACATAATATCGAAAACGCCGTTCAGCTTTCACGGTCCAGAAATCAAGAGGAAATTACGTATTTCAAGGAACATCAACGATCATCCTGTTTGATTCGTTCACTTTTGCAATTTATTATTAATTATACCACATATAAGAGAACATGATTCAAGTAAAATGAATTCCTCATCAGAAGAAATAGGATGTTAAAGCCTTTCAATGAAATAGGGGTTGAAAATACGCTCTGTTGAACGGCGCTACACGATGCTTAGAATCTCAACCACTATTCGACTATACTGCAGCGTTAAATAGTAATTATTATTGTAGACAGGATCCGTGAATGTGTTGTGTATGAATGAATGTGTTGCATTTGAAAGATCAATGGAGAGGAAGAAAGAGTGTATGTATGTATGTATGTGTGTGTGAAAGAAAGAGGGAGAGAGAGAGAGAGATAAATTTATGTTGTGATATGCAGGTAGTGAATATAATTATATATTATACATACTATTATTAAAATTATATATATTATATATATATAAAATTATATATATATATAATGGTATGAGATATGTTGACACGCAGTTAAACTCTCATACACAGGATAGACTTTATTAACATGAATTTAAAGTAATATTATGACGCCACTTCGAGAGTTTAGTATTCTGGAATAAGATTACAGAGGAAAAAGAACATTGGATCTCTAATGGTAGTTATGATTAAATAAACATTCAAATATATCTCCTGTTAGCTCCTTTTCTCTATTCACCATTATTTCTTTTTTCTTTATGTATTCTTATTTTTTTCCATTTTTAAAATTCGCGCGTTGTAATTTTCTTCTCTTTTCTTTTTTTTTCCTTCTCTCCCACTTTATTCTGTTTCTACCCGTCCATTTTTTATCGTTCGGGCCTAGAAATGTTCATAGACCCAAAAGATTAATTCATGTTATAGGTGAGATAACCAATATCGCAAATATTGATTATAGTTAGGTCCAACCAAACCATTTTACAATAAGTTGTAGTCTATTCTATACTCAACTATACTACTGTATAATGTATGACTCTTACCAATGCATAACACGTGTATATAATATATATATATATATATAATGTTCTTATTTAGTGAAATTCATCGTCAAACAAACGATGGTCAGATGTTTATTTAATTTATTATCGTATGGAATGTCGACAAATAATGTGTTTTTTTTTGCACGTTCGAGATAATCTGTATCTGCTTGACTCATATCAAACTTATATGCTTTATATGAATGTGCTCTATATGAATTAAATTTGATACTTGTGTTTCTCGATAATCGATTACAGACATTTTCTCTATAAAAAAATTCTAAAGGAAAAAAATTATAAATCAAATCGTTAATTCTAAATTTAGAATTCTTTTTCGAATCGTTCTTTAGGATTTATTTATCGAATCTCAAAAATTAAGAAAAAAAATTTTTATCATGCTGTTAAATGATATTAAAAAATAGTGTTATTAAATGTATTTTTTTTTTTTGCTCATAAATATTTGTGAAATGTGTAATATTTTTAATATGATATAACGTATATTTCATGAAATTACACTACTTACAGAATTGGTATGCTGAGTGCATGCAGATACGATTATAAGTTTATAGGGATGATTAATACAAGTATTTAGTATCTAAATAAGTTTTTAATACCTTCGTATATTTTTGCTATCGATTTATCAATCAAGGTGTCGCTGTTTTCGTTTTTGTTTATATTTCCTTTTTTTTCTCTTTTATTTACGTACTATTAAGAGATAGATTAGCGGTATGAATGCTGTTTATAAAAATAATAAATTGTTTAGTGAGTAAGTCAAAAAGTTGCGATAAACACATCACACACATACACACACACACAAACAATAAGTACACAAAAATGTGAATTTCAGAAAAAAACACGATGTTTACTATGCATACTTTTTGAGGTTAGTTAATGATCGATATTATCGAATCCGAGTAATAATCGTACGCTATAGAATTCTTACAGGCGAATCGATTTCCATTTATTATTCGATCATAAAGTAAAAATTATGTGTATAAAAAACAGAAAAAAAGAAAGAATATACTCTGTAATAAGCTTGCTGCAGTTCCTTTGACGTTACAATATTACTTTAAAATCTTGCAAAAGAAAAAGGGTAATAAAACGTGTTTATTTAAAACACGAAATGATAGTGAAAGAAAGAAACAAAATAAAACTCTGTTAAAATTAATAGTAGGATAACTTTTCTTTGCGGTGAATCGTTAGAAATTTTACCTCGTCTATTGTAAGAACTATTTTGAGTAATGTGACATGATAAAAAATTTAGTGCGATATATTGTTTGTATAAAAAAAAATATTCGGATTGGAAAAATATTCGGTGACGAACAACCATCTTTTTCAGAAATATATTTTCAAGATAATTATCCTTCATACCACCAATCACTCCATCTCTTTCTCTCTGTATCTAAATATCGATATTCGTTGTTTTCTTTATGTTCGTCATATTTTACGAAGATGATCTCACACTGAACGCAATGAAAATGAAAAAAAAAAAAAAATACATATGGTAACGTACCCACCACGACTAGCAAGTATTAAAAGAAAAAGGAAAAAAAATTATGAATGCCATGGAACTTCTAAAAGATCATGAGGAAGCGGGGTTAATTTAAAAAAAGAACAAAAACAAAAAAACAAACTGTAATAGTGTATTATATTATATAACTATACGCCTGATTCTATTTGCTGTTTAAACGAGAAAGATGATAAATGAAAATAAAATGGTATTCTTAAATACAAAAAAAAGTAATAATGGTAATATTAATAATAATAATAATTATAATAATAATAATAAATAATAATAATTAATAATAATAATAATAATAATTATAAACAGTCTATGAGGAATATAACTTACACACACTTACATCATATCAAAATTTCTAGCAGTTAAGAATCAAATCATAGATTTATTTCTACACGCGTTTGTTCCAGTGAAGTATACGCGTATAATACCATTGTACAAGCAACGTACAAAAAGTTTTGATTCTTCATTGATGGCATCATGTGGATCTTAATCAATCTTAATTACTAAGTTGGCATTAGTTACGATGTAAATCGTATCATCGAAAATTGTGGACGATCCTCAATCCATCTTTCTTCGTGTAAAATGAGCTGATTACAGGTTTTCATGACATAATGTAAAATATGATACTACGATGAGATTGAAATTGTTGTTGTAATTATCGAATCGAGTTATGTATTAATACATCAAGATGAGCATTATTCTATTTGAAACTCGAATATCTAAAACTTATTTCTCTTTTGTTCAAATAACAAACGTATGTTTCCATTATGAAGAAGATAATAAAGAAGAAAAGAAACACGATGACGAAGAAGAAAGGAAAGTTTAATTTCGTTAAAAAAAACGGAATCTATAAATTATAAGCTTGTATCAAGATATTCTTTTGTATATGAATCGAAAACCGTAGTCAATTCAGTTTACTTCAAAAAATTTAATCAAATACATATATTGGCGTTTCTCATCTCTCAGATAGAGCATTGTTATTGCTAGTCAGACAGATTTTATTAATCGTGAGAGCATATTGGCGGATCAACGAAATGATAATAATATATGTATTAACTCCACAATATTTCAAATATTGTAAAGAATGTTATAATTTTATTGCTGTTTCAAAAAAAACGTAAACTTTTGAAAGATTGTTGTAAATGTATCGAGTAAATTTCAAAATCAAAATAACATAAACAATTATTACCGCGACGAAAAAAAAGAAAAAAGGAAAGAAATAATCGAAATCATAAAAATTAAGCTTCGTGCACAAACATTCCAAAATTAAAAAGAATGAGCCCTATCTTCGTGTTTAAAAAACCTCTTCCTGTTTTAATAAATTATCCTATTTAAGCAGTGTTAAAGAAGAGAAATCATATTAGAGATTCCGTGTTGTTCGATGTTAAAAAATAATCGTAGAATGTTACGATGTAATCGTATTCGACGAAACGATTATAATTATATGGCTGAAAATAATTTAATCACATGAAAACATCATGTATGATCTGCCCCTCATACATATGTGCACATAATCTTTATTGACGTCGAGATTCATGATTTAACAACAAAGAAAAAGAAAAAAACAAAAAAAAAAGAGAATAATGAAATGTACAAAGCAAACTATAATTTTATACGGAAATCGGGATATAATGATTTTACTTTAGATCTGTGAAATGAAAAATCATACATGACAATTGAAATTCTACTTTAGAACCAAATGACATATTATTGTATAAAATTATTCTCTGACAACCTTTAAACTCTCTTCAAATGACAAATAATCCTAATTCTTTGTTACTTTTATGTTTGCAGTTTAAAAACAATATTTTTCTAGACGAAAACTGTTTCTATTCATGCGATACACATACACACATACATACATACATACATGAATGCGCGAATTCGTGAAAAATCGATTTTAAAGAAAAAAAAGAATGCATTTTGATTGAATGTGTTTTGGTATCAAAGAATTTGGTATCAAAATTTAATATCAATATGTAATATATATTCATTTAAATTGATAATCGATTCTTTTTTTCTTTTTTTTTTTTTTCCAAAAAATGATTCATCTTTTTTTTTATGTGTGTTCGAAAGATATATAAAATTTGAAACAATCGAAAATTAAAATTTACTTTGTACTTGAATGTTTAATTAATTATTTGCTCTCAAAGAAAATAGTTTCGAGCTAAAAATATTTTTTAATCCTTTAATAAGAAGGAGATGTATAAAACATTTTCAACTGGCCGTCCTACATAGAATATGGCGAATGTTAAATATATTATTTGAAAGCTATCCTACGAATTGCCATAACTTATTGATGCGTGTAAATTATATACAAACGATTCAACTTATTAAAGTTAAAGCTCTAATAAAATGTAACACGCAATAATTTTTGTAGACCATATGTTAATAAAACTGATGTTAATAAATTCTTCCATAAATTTCTATTAATTCGAAAATAAAAAAGAATTGAAAGAGGAATAGTAAATTGAAATGGTAAATCTAATTAAAAGAGAAAAAAAAATGTACTGATGATTAATTTACAATATCTGCGTGTTAATTTATTCAAATGTAATAGAAATGTTGAAAACGAGCAATAGTAAAAGGCACTTATTTAATGTCTCATACATCCTTCTTGTGTTTATATTTATTGTTCTAATTTTTGCCAAGTGTCCCTATGTAATGTATCATTTTAAACACAGCCAAGTATCTTATCATACGTGTAACATAGAATAAGGAGTATATCATGCCATAAAAGTGACGATGGTAAACGTTTCTAAACGAGAAATCATATAGTGATAATATTCATCACATCATATTCATTCACACAAAAATACTCTCATATAACTGTGTACATGACATTCATTTCTCTTATTCTAACTAGCATTTCAGGTTTTCTTCTGCTTTCTGATTTATAATGTTAATTTTAAACTAATCTATCATAGTTAATTCTATATAGAATAGATGTTATATTTTATCGCTAATTTTAGGTAACAATTACATGTAAATAGTGTGATGAACAATTAAATTGAATGACAATGGTCTTAGACTTTTTTCAACGGATTTCTTGAACAGATACATATAATTTTGTTATCTGTTATGCAGAGGAGAACAGCCAATTTCTTACAATAGGGCACAGCATAATATTGCAGTGTGGTTGGATATTTCTATACAGTAAAGTAATTTCTACAATATAGATTTGGTATGTACTGTGAAGAACCGTCTTGTAATTGTTGATAATTTTTAATGAGAGTGGATGATAAAAGGTATATCCACATACTGTGCCGTCTTGTAATGAACTTGTCGATATACATATATTAAATTTTTGAAAACTTATTGTTAAGCTTGCGTTACACACCTCATTTGTAAATATTAGATCATATTTTTGTCTGTAGCATAATGAGGATTTTAACTGCAATTTATTTAGTTCATAATATAAGATAATAAAGCTGGAAAATATAATGAAACAAAAAGCCTTATTACTTCTTTTTAAATATGTCATAATAAATCATATTAAATGTAGTTTTAAATAACATTTATTATACGTGTATTTAGATTTTGTTTATTATTATTTGAAGTCTTGTTACTTTTTTAATATTGAATCATAAAAAAAAATTAAAAAGACGAAAAATTATAGGTTATGTACAATAAAATACAATTATATGTAAAAATAATTGTGTTATGAATTATTTACATATATTAATTATATATATATATATTTTTTTAGTAAATAATATTGAAAGTTATAATTTTTTGATTTAATATATAATTAACTAATAAAAATTTATTTTTTTTAATTCTATCAACAAATTTTTATTTTTATTTATTACATTTACATCATATTCGTAATTACATTCGTAAACATATTTTTTATTCTTATCT